TTTGTTCGCCTCCTCCTCGCCGAGGCCCCGAAGAGCCTCTCCAGCCGCTTGCTGCCTCCGACCGCTCCTGTCTTTTCCGAGCCGGTCATCCGGAAAACGGCCCCTTCCCCACCCTGCCATGGGTAGATTTTGTGTTTCCAGGTCTTCCAACTCGTAACTTCACCACCTGACTGAGCCTGACCGGCCTTTGCAGACCCTTTGCTGGTCTTCTGGTTGCCTTCAGGCCTTTGTAGTTTTTCCTTCTGATCACTGGTTGAACTCGCCGAACAACCAAGGACCAATATCAGTGAAACCTGGAACAGAAATAGTGCCACACAGCCGGGCTTCGCCGTGACTGCCCATGGAGATCGGCTGATGACCGTACTCATTCACTTTGCCTGGGGATTATGAATGTTGTAGAAGGCAGGCTTGGAAGTCAGAGAGTCATTGAAGTCCTACAAGAAGCTCCTTGGACTTTGATGGTACCTCCACAATTGCTTTTATCAGCCTGATTTGTAAGGTCCTCAAAGAATGAAATCAGATTTTTTTTCTTTCTAAAGAAAGCTCTTTTCTGTAAAACCATGTTGACTGGCACTAATGATACTCATACAGTGTGCTGCATTCAGCCATTAATGACTGAACTTTGTACCGGCTTCTCCATTAGTTTGCCTAGGACCATGGCTCTCTTATCTGTCCTACTCTGCTGGCCCTTTCAAACACCAAGGTGACATGAACACTGTTTGAGACTTCTGGATTTTAAGTTCCCCAAGTTGTATTGAAAATCAACAAGCAAGGGAGATCTCCAGTTGGGTTTTTTTTTAGGACTGCTGAGTGCAAATTATCTAAACCTACTGATCTGTAAACACTTAACCTATAACGGATGTTAACATCCCTCTGATGCATAATGGCTTGACAAAGACATTGTCTTCTCTGCGATATAGTCAAAACATTTCTGGGTCTTTCATGTTGTAGTATGAGATCAAGATTTTAGATCACAATCAAGGGTTTACGGCCTTGAGGCCTATCAAACAAGAAAGATGTTCGAGCAGGCTCCTCTGGATTAACTATTATCGAGTGAAGTGGTTGCTGCGGAGGTTAGAGAGGATAAAAGTTGCAGTAATTGTGAGACAAGATGATTTGATAACGATATTAGACATTGTGGCAGAGAGGAAAGACTGGTTCTTTTAATCATGCTGGTGGTGGAAGGAATAGCAAATGACACTGTAAGCGTGGGTGTGGGAAGCAAATGGGAGAAGAATCATCACGTCGCCCTTGTGCAGAAAAGGCGAGCTACCTAGAGAACAGCAGTGTCTTCCATTGCTGCACAGAGATGGTGAAATAAGCCGTGGCTGGTAATTGCAGAGGAAATCTGAGGTTGCACCCCAGCTGATCTGATCTGATCATCTGCCCTGAGGCTGATCAGATTGGAGCACAGGACAGGAGTAATGTATCCATGAATCAACTGCACGCAGCAGTAGCAACCTCAGGATGACCAGAGGAAGTTGCAGTGAAATGGGCTGGAGAGAATGGTCACGAGAGCCCCAAGAGATTCAGAGAAAGGAAAGAGAAGCAGAAATGCCAAAAAGAAAAAAAATGCAAACCCAGCGGCCTGCGAAACGGGAACTGCTTTAGTGCAAACTCATGCTTCGGTTTTGATACTCTCCCCATAATATCACACTCTTGGCTATTGCTAATCAGTAGAGGAAGCCCCTATGCCACCAAGTCCTAAATTGTGGAAGGCAACTCAATGGAAATGTACGCTGGTGCCCTGTGAATATCTTCAAGAAACATGCTGGGCTGCAAAGCACTGCAAGAATTGGATTGGGAGGCCCCCTTCCATCTTGGATTATTCAGAGTTTGCTTTGTAACTGGACAAAACATAAGGACGAAAAAAAAAAAAACGTGTTAACTTATAAACACTGATGGGCAATAAAGGAACATAGTTACAACAATGAAACAATGCAAAAGTGTCATTAAGGTTCCACTAAGCAATAATGTTTTCCTTTTGCTGCATTCACAAGAGTTGGTGGATGGCTAATTTTCCTCATTTGACCCCAGATTTACTCGAAATGGAGTCCTCTTCAAACTCATTTTCCTGCTGCTATTGTTAAAGATGTCTATCAGAGCCTCTCAGAATACTTGCTATGAGTGACCTGTTC